CCAACATTGCGGAAAGTTATTAAATCTGTACGCAGCACGAAGCTTTATTTTCTCAATACATAGAATTCCGTCGGTATTTATTCCGTTTATATAATCAATAACGGCATCAAGAAGTACGAGTACAGCGGAGAAAGAGACAGTATCGATAATGCCGGCTGTCACGAATCATTCATTCCTCGCTGAAATATTCGCGCCGCTACATCGATTATTCTGAGCCAATATTTATGGATAAATTCCACGGCAATGGGAGCGCATTATCGTCCTCGAGAGGGCGAGGGCGCCCTGTTAGTTTTGACTATCATTCCAGCCTGCCACTACTCACCTGACCGAGCTCCGAGTGTTTACTGAAATAATAACGGAACCGTGCGCGGGCGTTTCTGAAATTCGATAATTCCCGTCTCTAGAAGCTTCTCTGTGCAAACACGAGGCAGTGCATTATCCCTTATGCCACGCGTGTCACAGAGCTCCGCGTTACCAACGAAACAGCATATGGCAGTTAAGACGGTGCCTTATAAAAAATGAACGGAGGGTGAGAAGAGGAAAACAAGAGGGGTAGGCGTAGTGGCTAGAATGTCGATCTAATCGTGCTAATGCTTGTGAGCCTGCATTATACAATGGCCAAGGGATTTCCACGTGTCCTTTCGCGTCGAGGAAGGAAGCGTATCCGGCATCCTGACACTTTGGATCGGAGCGTCTAGTGTAAATCAAATATTCCTCACGCCTTGACCGTCGCTGTGATTTGACCTTTATCACTTTTCCTCTCTGCTTTATCGCTTCCTATCCGACTCATCCGATTATAGTCACGTGTGTGAACGAAAAAGAAACATTTGCCTTGCAGCGTGCAGTACGACGTCATCCTCGTTGAATATTCTATCGGGTCGGAAATGAGAGCCTCGAGATAAAAGATAAAGCACGCATCGACGTGTACGCACGGTAATGTGTTTACTTCTACATGCAACAATGCGCAAACGTACCGACCGGCTTCCAAGCTCTGCATTTGTTTCCCTCGATCCGCCCCGATAAATCGCTCGGTATCAGTTGGGGGATATGAAAAATCACGACGCGTATCGATTCCGTTTGAACGGTTCGCATTTGCAAGTTGGATTTTCTCCACAACTTCTCGCTTTTCTTACAAACTTTCGTCTGACGTTTCTAGACGAAAAGGCAAATTCTCGTGGAAGAGATGCGCGTGGTGCAAAGTCTCGCGCGGTCGTCACCGGTTTGTCGATTGTGTGTGCCGAATACAAAGAAAGTAAGATATTCCAGATGAAAGATAAAGCACGAGCCGCAATATAGGGATAGTGATTCTTTTGCTATCTGGGACGCTCTGTATAGATGTATATCATAATAATTTTTGAATATCTAATTACTTGTGTTAAGATACTGGATGTAAAATGTGATTGAAAACTGATCGTCTATTTATTTACTTCATTTTTACATGAAGAGGCGGTTGGCAAGACTATCTGCTGTCTCCGCCGAACGGTTTGACAAACGATCTAATAGAAACAAAGGAGACAGACATATGCAACCGGCACGAGATATTGAATCCCTTCGAACAGATTGTATTTACGAATGGAACTCTTCATCTCGTTCCGCCTTTCCTTACAGACTCTTGTTTGTGTCAGCAGTAACATAGCTCTGCGTTTGACATTTCCATTCCGCGCGGAGGATCCGTTCGAAATAACGTTTATGCACGTCAGTATCCGGTATCGTAGCCGGATTAACGACTGCAACAGGTCGTTAACTCGTGCACCGTAAAACGTCAATAATGGATGAAAATCGATTCGTGTGAGGCACCATCGAATCAGCCGTTCGCTACGCACGATCGATTTACGCGAATGTCCGCGTATACCTTCCGCGCCAGTTCTAAACTCGTCGCATTATTTCTCTTTGTCCGCCGTCCGTTTGTGTACCAAAGGCATAAATGTCACAAATGTAATAAATTTTCGTCTTTGCATACAGTACAGCGGTAGTTTTTTTTCGTTCTCTCTGCACGCGTTTACGGCATTATAATGCTGTTTAAAAGTTTTTATATGTATACATCTTATAAAACATGAAGCGAGTAATAAAAAATTAAAATATGAAAAGACTTAAAAATAGGTATAAATAAAAGAAGATAAAAACGAAAAAGCACGAGCTGGCATATATGTACGCATTAAATAAAAATTTATATTTTTGTCTCACATCGCATTATGCTCTTTGCAAATAACTATACAATCTTTTTCCGACATCGTTACAGTATCGCGAAAAGATTCTGTTCAAAGGAAAAATTACAATAATAAAGGAAAATAAAATCCGTTCCATTTTATGTTCAACCGATTCTCGTCTATCAATTGCTGTTGTATGCTCTACGCATCGCATCTAGAGTTTGCTGCAGTCGTGCAAATTTGATGATGAGAGTCGAAATAGATATCAGCGAGAATACACGTATCCCGACGAAGGGCGCGAAATGACATAAGACTTTGCTCGAGACCCAAGATCTCCTTACGCCTCGTTAGACACTTTGTTCTATATTTCGAAATGTATGTATGTACATATATACATGATACTGCGAAGTGACGTTGTGCTGAGCTCATCGTCGCCGTAGCATATTTTAATGACCCATTCGCGGTTCTCGTCAGATACCTAAAAAGGATTTGATTTCCATCCGAATATTCAGAGCTGAATTTTGAAGAGCGGAATAATTATAGCGAGAAACGAGACGTGCACACTTTGATAATGTCTGATGTATTTCACTTTATAAGATTTTTATTAAATCTGTGCAACAATGCAGACAATGCAGACAATTCCATTACAATTGTAATTAAAATTTTTGAAATTGTTTTCATATCATAAAGTTAAATTCTAATTAAATAGAAAATGGGGATTAACATTACGAATAAAATAAATTACCAGATTATTTTCGAGAATATTAAGGTAACGGTAAATCTATTAGTATATTGCAATTCACATGATTATTTAATGTGAAAGATAAAGGGATTAAATTTTATTTCGCCAAGATACGTGCAGATATATTATTCACGTATATGGCGTTTAGCCGCGCAGCCAAGCATCTACGATTTCTCGATGCCGGAGTATGCACAATACACATACATGCCGACAGCACGCGTGACACGCATCTCATTGCGGATAGGTCACGGAGTTCGTAAGAGCCCGTACCCGAGCCGTGCACGGTTAGTCTACGGAGTTTACGGTGAGTACACGTTGCGCCGTATATCGGCAGGTGTACATACGCACCTATACGGCATAGTAAATATATAGACGCGTTCGAGGAGGCGAGGCAGCTGCGATAATGGTCCACGCGTTTCGGGATTCTCTCAAGTTCTGTGTCCGATGCGTTATTGCGTTCTATGCACTGCACGCTATCGGCACTGTTAGCGTGGTTAGCCGGTCGGCCGGCCGTTAGCCGGATGATACACGGCGCGTCCGATGTGCACACGATGTACCTCGCGCACCACGATATGACACGCGATCGCATATCTGGGAACAACGCGACACGTTTTCACGATTTATCGAAACGGATACTTCGATCGGATACCTCGAGTGCCCACTGAAATGCATCACGTTGATCGGAAGCAATGGATTATTGTAGACGGTAAAATATAATTTCTTGATAGCATGCAATCATGCATTTTTTCTATTGAGCAGATATTTTGAAATTTGCTTTATTAAATTTCCGGGGCAAATACTGAAAAGACTTACAAGTTTTATATTTCATATTTTAATAGTATCCAAATTACAAAAGCAATCAGTTCTTAATGGTATGCAATCATATGTTTATTTCATGTAGATATTTGTCATGTAGATACTTAAAAATTTTTATTATTAAATGACGAAAATTAAACCGAGAAAATCACAAGTTTAATATTCATATATCTAGTATACAAATTACAGAAGCAATTAAAAGTTGAGGTTTACTATTTTTAGTAAGATTGCGCTTTAATGCATAATACTTTTTACTTTTCACTATAGTAATTTTAATTTTGTGAATTTGTGAATTAATAACATAGAAAGTTTAGTGTAAGTGGGGATGGCTGAATTTATCAAAGTATAAAATCTCGCCGGGGGAGCATGAATTTAATCAAGAGATTAGATTCAGTTTTCACAAGCGCTGTTTTGGCATCAGTGAATTATGGCATTCTGCGGCGCTATCGATGCTGTTAGCGCGGTTAACCTGTTGGTTGTTAACGATGATACACGCCACTTCAATGTATGCCTCCACTTGGTACCGTAGCCAGCCCGTCTATGCGATACGATGCATGATTGGATCTAGGAACAAGTTTTCCTTAAGGAAAAATTGTTGGCATACGGCCATTTTTTGCATATCGAAACGACTTTATCACTGATGCACACATATTTCACCAGTAATAGAGTGCTCGATCGAATATTTAATGAAATATCTTGAATATTATTCAAGTGCAGTAATAGAATGCGGTACAAATTATTGTAAAAAATATTTTTTGAAATATATGTATAAAGAATGTATCTACAGATTAAGATATTCAATATTCAAAATAAAGTTACAAATAAAATTTTTTACTGTGTAAATTTTTGATATTTTAACACATTAAAAAATATCTAACAAATATACTAAATATGTCTAAATACAAGATTCGATATTCAAAAAAGTTGATTTTTTAAGAATTCTAGCTAACAATATTTTTGCTAAATAAAGAAGTAGACTGTAAGATCAAAATTTAATGAAATTTTGATATTTATAATAAGGCAATTAAGAAGAAATTTTAAATAGAAAATATTTATAAAAGAAATATTGTAGGTTCTAATGTTAAAAAACTCCAAAATAATTATATTGTCTGTAATTATAATGTAATATTAATATTGTTTAATGACATATAAAAATATATATTTCGTAAATTAACAAATATATTTTTATGGAACAATTCTAACGATAAGATATATTGTAATTTGGAATAGAATATAACTATGTGTGTGTAAATGTAAAGCACATATCATAACTATCACCGGTACATTATTTTCAGAACTCGTCGTGAGGTGGCAGCATCGCCTTGATGAGCGACCACGTCGAGTTTCTGCAACCAGAAAGTAGTGGGAGAAGCAGTGTAGCGCAGATGCGCGTGTGCGATCGAACGTACAACATCGTGGAATATCTAGTGCCTCTTACAACTTCGCATTCGAAAGACGTGTTATCAGTGTTCTGAAATATTTGGCAGTCACGAAATCTCACTGTGCAGCAAAATATATTCAGAGTTCGTTTGACTGGATACGTCAGTGCACGAGCCAGTAAGTATATCGATTCAGGCGTAGCTGCGCCGCGTCGGCCATATTGAGACGCATGTAATTGTCAGCTGTAGTAAACACACTCGTAAAACTCATAGGACATATTTCGGAATTAAATAATAATGTGCTCCGAAATGAAATGATAACATACTGTAGTGTAGTCAAACAAAGCAATATATAACAGAAAGTTTGTAAAAAAATATTAAATTGCTAATTACACCTAGATAATGAATTTTCATTATATTTATTTAGTGCAGAATATAGAACATTAGATTATGAAGCATCAAGATCGAAAAATCAATACTTCTTGATTTACGATTTATTTATCGTTAAAATATTTAATATTATAAACTATTGTAAATATGTAATATATACTTAAATTTGCAAAAATTATTTTTTAATATCCTCAAATTAATTTTAAATTAAAAGTAAAAATATAATTTTTTGAGCGTAGAGATGCTACCATTATATATCAAAAAATTGCTTTTTCTGAAACATTATTATATCTTTTTATTACAGGAAAGCGATCGATAGATCATCAAGTTACGCAATTTTCCGTGATCTTCAATATTTCTCACGATGCCGTTCACAGCAGACGCTGCGGCAAGTCAGATACAAGAGCGTTTGAGGAATATCTACAGTCTCGTACACGGGATAGAGAGTCAACGTATCCGCTCGGAGCATAATATAAAGCAACGTCATGAAGACTCACGAAAAGGTTACACCGGAAGACAAGGTCTCCCCTTACTACCAGCAGAAACTGAAGAACCTGTACAGTGCCGCAGTGACTGACGCGCAGCAGGAAGAGGAGATCCTGCGTGAGGCCCTTAGCAAGATTAACGAGATACGCACAATACGAAACGAACGACGTATACAGCGCGTAACGCCGGAAACAAGGAGACTATCAGACGCGGCGCACTGATGAAGATGCTAAAAGACACTGCGCAGACCTTGCCTCTTTACGTAGGCAAGACACCTGGTGCCAAACCACCACCATTGTGCGGCGCCATACCAGCTGAGTCTACATACATCGCGAAGATGGGTGATATGGTGGCTGCTCTAGTGAAAGGGAAAGAACTGGAAGAGGGAGAGAATTGGATACTCGCGGAAGTTGTGCAGTTCAATCCCGCCACGAACAAGTACGAGGTTATCGATATTGACGAGGAGCAGAAAGACCGTCACACGTTGTCGCGCAGACGAGTGGTATCGTTACCGCTGATGAAGGCCAATCCTGAGACCGACTCACATGCACTGTTTCCAAAAGGTTCTATCGTGATGGCACTGTATCCACAAACCACTTGTTTTTACAAAGGAATTGTGAAACATCTACCGACTAATGCCACAGATGAGTATCAGATCCTGTTTGAGGACGCTGCGTATGACGTCGGCTACTCACCACCATTGAGTGTGGCGCAGCGTTATGTGATTTCCATCAAGGAGAGCAAAAAAAATAAGAACCAATATTAAGAAATCGTACTATTTTCCTATATTAATTTTCAACTTTTTTAATTAGTAGAAAAAGACGTATAGTAAAAAATTTTCTCAGTAAAAAACGCGACTGCGAAAATAAAGCCTCCTTTTGCAGTATATATGTATATATGTAAATATGTCCGCCGTAATTAATTTAAATAGTTTATTATAGGTCGAAAGAAAAATTCTTTTTTTCTAGGAAAGAAATATTTCTGTTTTCCCATTGAAATGTGATTTATAATAAATGATGAACTTTTTTATAACCCGTTATGAAATTTTTTAATGCTCCCAATCCTTAATTTTAACGCAAATTAGCTTTATAAAGTTTATTATTTTATCAGTCAATAATAGTTCTACAATTACGATGATTAAATGCACATGCGATTATTCTATAAAAATAATAAAGAATACGTGTTGATAAATGAGAAGAAAATTAATTGGTTTTACAAATAGCACAACAATATTTTTTACAATATAAGCGGTAATATAATTATCCTAGCATATCCCACAAAATATCTATCGAAATCGCGCGGTTTGTTATTAAGATTAATTCCAAGCTTTAACCGCGAAAAATAAGCACGTACCGACAGTTAAGGTCCTATTTCCGCGGTACTACCCGTCCTCGTAATTGACGTAGATTATAGGATAATAATAGCGGTATGCTTATGTGTGTACGCGCGGGTGGACTGAACTTGGACTCCGCTGACCTTTCGCGGAATCGGTTCTCCGTGACTCCGTCTGAGTAATTTCTTCCTATATGGAATAAATCTTTCCCTCTCCATATCCGTCATACGAAGTAAGATAGAAATAGACAGAATGTACGGGAGCAAACGAGATGGGAGGAAGATAAAGAGAGTAGAGAAGTAAAAGCGGGTAGCGGGCGAAAGCGACTGAAGCCCGCGAGTGTGAGAGCGGATCGAAAAAGATAGAGGACGAAAGAGGGAGTACCGTGCAATAATTGATTCCATAATCGGCGGCTGCCGCCAGACATCAAAGCAACTGGATATCCGAGCCGAACCCCTGGCAGACCGGCACAGCTAGTCAATCCTCATTCATTATTTAACTTAACTACCCCCGCGCATCGGGAATCATAAAAAAGTACTTTGATTTCGGCGCACGTTGCGGACACGGTATTTCCACTATTTTCCTCAAAATTAATCCTGAAAATTTTTCATTGATTTCTGGTTGCCGTTTGGATAGAGTCCGCCGCTCGTTGAATAACGTACCGGAGGGGCTTTTAATTGAAACGCGAGGCTGCATCTGTCGCCCGAACACGAAATATTAAGCGTAATAGAGAAAATTAAGGAAAAAAGAAAATACGCGTGTTTTCGAATGCGTGCTTTTGAAGTATGTTTATTACGGTAAAACATTGAGTTGTATATGAATGTGCTCTACTTTTTATGTAATGTAAAAATGTGTCTAAGATAGAGCTATTATTCCGCATATCTCAAAGCGACTTTCCACTATCTTCAGCACGACTCGCGTAATAATAGAAATTATCTAGTCCGTGTAATGGCTCTTATATGCCTTCCCGCGAAAGTTGTAACGACCGATTGTATCTAGTCTACGGTAGTTTCCCTAACCGCATCAGAATTCACCTCGAACCCCAGGGGTCAATCGGATCACATGAATCTACGTAAAGCGTACGACCCGAACCTTTTATTCGCGCACTCGCAATCGAAATCGCGTTTGCGAATTACATCGCACGCCGTCCGGCATTTCCGGTGGTCATTAGTCGCTCTCGATTGTCCGATATCTTTCCATTTCCCGCTGATAACCGCCGGCGTGTCGGCAGAAGCCATTCTCAGTTCTGGAATTAATTCAACCGGCGATTAGCTTCCGCGTCAGGGGCGAGTTCTGGCCGAAACGAGACTTTCGTGCGTTCGATCGCGCATTCGAGAGTGTGTGTTTCGCGCGGCGCGTCCGTGTGCCCGCTTACTGAATACGTCCGAACCGCGGGCGGGCGTGCGTTTGTACGGCGAGCCTAATACAAGTGGACTCGTAGCATGCGAGCAACCGGAAGCCGAGGCGAACTCGCGCCCGAGCACGCAAACTGTACTTTCCACCCCCGGTCCCCGCGAAAGCAATCCCTCCCCGCGTCTCCTACGGCTCGTTCCCGCCCGTTCCAAGGTTCCCTTCGTTCATTCGTTCCACGTCTCAGTTATCTGAGTAATACTTCTCCTCCGGCTTTGCCTCGCCCTACTCTGTTGCCCTTTTCTCTTCTCTCTCTCTCTCTCTCTCTCTCCCGTCTTTCTCTTTATATCCTACTGCTGACCCTCTTCCTCTATCGCGCCGTCTTTCTCCTCTCCTCTTTGCACAACCCGATCAGGGCAGGTTCACTTAACCCTCCGGTAATGGTGCGCTGTATTTTTCTTCGACGCTCGTAATTACGCCCGTGCTCTCGCGAGCATATTTTATTTCGTTCCAGATCGATCGGTTCCAACGCTGGTATCTGTCACTGCCCTCTCTCGTATCGTTCCCTCCCCTCGCATTCTCTCTCTCTCTCTCTCTCTTCTTCCCTCCTTCTCCCCTTTCGTCATCCCGCCGCAGGCTTCATCCAGCACAACGCACTACCCCCCGGCGACCATTAGTCTTTCTTTCGATAAATTGGCGGGTCAGAGTGATTGCGAGATGTCACCTCGGCACCCTCACCTGTCCACAACACACATTTGTTAGTAACTGGAGCGCTGTGCAAGCCTCCCTTCACTCCCGCTTGATTAGAACCATATCAATAATGATTCGATAAGATTGCACATGTTGTTTCTCATGCCTGTCAACGGTTACTTTGAGCGTGGTTACGTGTTCGTATCGTGTATCCAGTGCGTACTCGACCAGCCAGCTCGTTCGGAATATTTTATCGATTAGATTCACAACATCTGCCACGTTTTTCGCAGCGGACCATAATTTAGCGTTCTTGACTATGAAAGAGGTATGAAAAGATAAACCATGGCTGGCCCATTAAGACTTCACTAGGTTCGTTTAAGTAGTACTCGGGGGCTCATTGAATTATTGATACCGGGGAGTAAATTGAAAATCGATAAGCGATCCAGTGCAATTTAACTTCGCGGCCGTTTCCGGACGAAGAAGAGCGGAGCGCGGCGAGCGGGGCGAGAGAGGGCGCACGGTGGGGATTACGGGGCTCCTCGTGTGTTGGACGGGCTCCGGATTTTCATTTTTTAATTAATACGCCGGGCACACACAATGGTACCCAGGAAGAGGGATCGATAAGGCCGACTAACGAGCTGCCAACCTCTAATCCAACTTTACCTCGAAAACTGTCGGAACTCTTATACGACGCAATAATGAGTTCTGCCCGTTGAACAGAAGAAAAGTCACAATGTTAATAGCTTCTGCCTTTGAGTCCGCGAGCAAAAAAATCGAGCGCGTATGAAACAGACGACGAGGACAGAATCTGGACAGGCAAAAGGACGCGCGCCGCTGCCGGTCGTCTCTCTCCTCGAACACGTCTCGCCGTGGATTCCGTTTAGCCCCCGTTTAGCTGCGCGGCCAGGTCGAGGGAATAAAGCTCCTCGGAAACAGCCGCGAGTACCGATTCGATCCGAACCTATTGGATTTCGCGGAGTGCAATTTCTTCGCCGAGACCGCAATGCAATGTTCCGCGCGGTGCGCGCCACGTTCGTCTCACCGATACATCGCGACACTTTAGACGAAACGATAGCGAACTGCAGCGTACCATGTATCCGGTGTAGCTAGAGTGCCACTTTTAAAATACCGCATTGAGTTCTTCTCCTGATGCCTTATGCGCTCGTGAGTTGAACGCGACGTTATCGCGAGGGAAATCACGTCGTCGCGAAAGTCAGAATAAAGTTCCTGATATAATTGTAAATGGTTTTGGAACTCGGAAATGCGTTCAACATTACGTTTCATTTTGCTGTAATAATATTCTGCAGAAACACGTTCATATCGCATGGCGGGACTTGAAAATGGTGAGAGATCCGGAATAGAAATTTAATAAAGAATATAATCATTAACAGCTTAATATGCGCGTGTTTTACGATGATTGCGATTTGATATTGTGAATTTCTAATGACGGGAAATGTGCAATTTCTTCGTGTCCCTCATCATTAAAAATCGACTTAACTTTTTCACAGACAGGATTGCCGTAATAGTAGCGCTGTGCGTAATGACGCGTACTTAAATTACCAATTCAAGTGCTAAAATGCGCGAAATGCAGACACACCACGAACGTCATGCGGCGTAATGACTCGCCATAAGAGGCCTGCGACATTCCCCAGCTGTCAATGCCAGAAATGAAGCTTTCTTACTCTTTCTACTCAGAACGTCTCGACGGTGTTCACGGCGTCGGCAATTTGTTACGTTTTTCGTCAACTAGTCGCATTAGGAGATAAGAGGGCGAGACAGACGCATTAAATGAGACGACTCCGGCTTACATATTTCAACGAGGCATTTGTCTCCTGCCATGCGAGTTCCAACGTCGATGATATTTCGAATGCCGTTTTCGTTCGTGAGCGCGTGGAGCTATAAAGGTACGCGAGGATCGAATAAATCATAGGCGGGCGACTCCTCGTTAATTAATTGCGTTTGCCAATGAAGGCAGGGCGGTTTAAAACTTCCTTCATAATTCAAAGCCATAATCGGTTATCGTGGTCATTACGGCGACACGACACGATCGCCGATGAAATCGGCGTTTACGGACGATTTTACGACGCTTCACTGATCCGTGAAAGAATTTTAATCTCGCGGAAGTTGCTAATTACAATTGTAGGCGAAAAGCGTTTCAGCAACCGGGCGATATTTTATTTTCAATTTATTATAAAGTTACGAATTTTACATCAGCAATATAACTTACCGAAAGTAGAACTCTTAAATATAGCAACGCATATTCCATTACGTTACGTGTATTTATTTTAATTTTCAAATAATGTTAAAAAAACCAAGATTTTATGTAGAAAAGTGAGTAAATAGCGACAGAGTGGTTTAAAAACTAAATCTGCTAATAGAAGCGCTCATCTTTGATGCAAGGAATAAACTTTTCAAAGCTTGATGAGCATACAGGGTTGTAATTTTTCATGCCGTGGATCGTGCTGACGGAGTGATTAAAAACTTATCCACGCGCGTCAATGCGCCGACCATTCGCATATTCTCTCGGGTCGTAAGGTCGTTGGGAGACCGATGGTTGTCCGAGAAAGTTATTCCTAGATTA